CCCAAACACATACATCCGCATACCTGCCTTCATATTATACCACCTTCTCCCAGAATCTTCAATCTCAACTTCGCACTTGCATCACACACCCTTTTGACCTGTCACCACGTGCGATCCCGGGGATTCTCTTGCATGGCATGATGTTGTTTGGGGCAATCAGAAAAGAAAAGAAAAGAAAAGTCCCCGCGCGCACGCAGATGTGTTTGGACAACAATACTAAGCTCTCGGAAGCGAACAATGCTAAGACGCCTCCTGGCCTCATATTCCCAACTTGAGCTTCCTCAATTGAATTGACCTCCCCATCCCGCCCCGTTTACACCTGCAATGAGGAGGAGGATTTCCACCCCAACTGAGAGAAAGACAGACAATAAGAGACCGATACAACTACATCCCGTTTCTTTATATTATCATCTTAACGTCTCACTCACATTCCCACAATTAGCCAGCCAGACCCGTGCTACCTATTATCTCCTCCCCTCCCACCAACCACTGCCGTGCACTCACCCACTCACCCACTCACTTTATTTCTTCCGCCGCCGGGCACAACAATATGATGTACCTACCGGTTCCTTATTATGATGCCTCCAACCGTTCGTGGTGATGCTAGAGAATAGGAAGTCAAACACTTTGGTCGAGAATGGGCAATCGTGCTACTCCTTCTTCTTCTTTCTTCTTCTTCTGTTGTAAGAAGGGTACCCGCGACTACAACCACAAAACCACAACTCGCAAAAAAGGGGAAATTGGACTTGTCCTCCACCAGACCCAGTCCAATATACCGTCGTCGTCGTTATCGTAAGCTTGTCTTACTGAACTTTTCTTTTCCCTCATCAACCAAAGTAGTAATCAACTCTAATCTGGCGTCAACGATACGATACTGTGGTGAAGGATCGTCACTCATTTAACAAACATCGTCGGCACTTTCACCTGGAGAATTAACCAACACCTTCTTCTTTTCATTGGGCTTTCTGGTTCTTGATCAGCTTCTTACCTACTCACCTACCCATACAAAGCTCGCTTGACTCGAGCACCACCAGCAAGGGTCTGTCTGTCCGTCTCCCTCCCCTTGGTCTGTTGGGGTGTAGATACGGTATGTCCAGAGTCAAGGCCGACGATCCAAGTCCCCAAACTGACTGAACCTTTCCCAGCTCTCAATCCCTTCCACACATCAAACCCACAGCACCCACCCATTCATTGGGTCACCCATCAACACCATGGCCTCCTCTTCGTCCCCTCCCGCCGACATCTTCAGCGGCATAACCCAATCCCTCAACTCCACCCACGCCACTCTCACCCTCCCCATCCCCCCCGCCGACCGCGACCACCTCGAGAACCAAGTTCTCTTTTTGTTCGACAATCACGGCCAACTCCTCAATGTCACCACCACCTACATCGACGCCTTCAACGACATGTTGCTTTCCACCACCATCAACTACGCCACCCAAATCGGCGCCACCTTCATCATGCTCGCCATCATGCTGCTCATGACGCCCCGCCGCCGCTTCAAGCGTTTACCCACCATCATCAGCCTCCTGGCACTTTGCATCAACCTGATCCGCGTCGTCCTGCTGGCGCTTTTCTTCCCTTCGCACTGGACCGATTTCTACGTCTTGTACTCGGGCGACTGGCAGTTCGTGCCCCCCGGCGACATGCAAATCAGCGTGGCGGCCACGGTGCTCAGCATCCCCGTTACGGCCCTGCTGCTGTCGGCGCTCATGGTGCAAGCGTGGAGCATGATGCAGCTGTGGACACCGCTCTGGCGGGCCTTGGTCGTTTTGGTCTCGGGTCTGCTTTCGCTGGCAACCGTGGCGATGTCCTTTGCCAACTGCATTTTTCAAGCCAAGGATATCTTGTATGCGGACCCGCTGCCTTCGTATTGGGTGCGGAAGCTGTACTTGGCGTTGACGACGGGGTCGATTTCGTGGTTTACGTTTTTGTTCATGATTCGCTTGGTCATGCACATGTGGACCAACAGGAGTATCTTGCCGAGTATGAAGGGACTCAAGGCCATGGACGTCTTGATTATTACTAACTCCATTTTGATGCTGATCCCGGTCTTGTTTGCCGGGCTGGAGTTCTTGGACTCGGCCAGTGGGTTTGAGAGCGGTTCGCTTACCCAGACGAGCGTGGTCATTGTCTTGCCGCTTGGCACGCTTGTTGCGCAACGGATTGCTACGAGGGGATACATGCCTGACTCTTTGGAGGCTTCTTCTGGACCTAATGGAAGTTTACCGCTTAGCAATTTGAGTTTTGCTGGTGGTGGTGGTGGTGGTGGTGGTGGCCACAAAGACACAGAAAACGGAGGAGGAATCATCCCTCCCACCAACAACACAGCAACCGACTTTTCCTCCTCCATCGCCTGCAGCGGCATCAGCTGCCTCCCAAAGGTAAAGCGCATGACGGCCAGCTCGGCATCTTCAAGTCAACGACCCCTTTTGACAATGACCAATTCAACCATAGCCAGCAATGACTCGTCGGGTTTCCCGAGTCCAAGCATCCATAACACCACGACGGCGACGCAGTACCAGTACTCTATGGGAATGAACATGCCCAACTTCCCACCTGTTCCTTTTCCTGGCTACCACAGTCGTAACACGGGCGTTACTTCTCACATTGTCAGCGACGGACGACACCAAGGCATGAACCGACATCCGAGCGTCGACCACTTTGATCGCGAGCTGGCGAGGATAGATGATGAAGACGATATGGATAACGACGATGGTTATCCCTTTGCGTCATCCGAGAAAGCAGTTATGCATGGTGATGAAGATGATGATGTAGAAAGGGGAAGGAGGAGAGCTCTGCCTCCACCGCTTGGGGGAGTAAGAGTTGAAAGAACGATTGAGACTAGAAGCGAGGAGAGGATGCCGTCGCCTAATCCGTTGGGAGTCACGAAGCCGAGATCTTTTGAGTAGGGCTGGGATCCGGCGGTGCTCATGTCCATGGTGATTGGTGGTGCTGGATTTGGTGAGAGGGTGGGTGGGGGAGGTCAGGAGAGGGAGGAATGAGAAGACAAAGACGGAAGTGGTAATGAAGCTTTAAGCTGAGACTGAGGTGAAGCACGAGAGAAGAGAGATGATGAGCAATGGAGTGATACCCTAATATGCAGTGAGCCTTGGAGATGGTGAGATTCTTTTGGTTGTATTACTAGACAAGGTAGGATGGTGGGTGTACATAGGTGATTGTTACCTTACCTAAGGGGTTCATCTGGTTTAGCTTGGCGGCATGGTTTGCAAGACCCTTTCCTCGCAAATGGAATATGATGCGTTTTGGCACCCATGCTTCATTGTTTTGTTGTCTTTCAATAGATTTGGGTTGGTCCCGCCCTCCCACCACATAAGCGTGATAAGTTCGCATCGTCATATACAATCTTCAGTTACCCCGCGGTAAATGGTTCCAGTTTCGTACGTTACTTTCTTCAACACCACGTCCGCAGGCACAGCTCTATACCATCGAGGAGTTTGTAGACAATACGTGTCTCTTTCCCGCTTCTGAACTCCTTAACCTCTCTGCGCTCGGACTCTAGCTTAGGACCCACCAGGTCTGGTTGTGAGGCAATTGTCATAAGTGTTCGCAAGTTGACTTCCTTGCCGAACGCTAACTTTCTCACTCGGCAAGAAAGATCGGTGGAAACAACTAGAAGGATTCGTCTTTGAGACGGCCTATTAGGATGCAGAGGATATAGATCGAGGTTTAGGACGGCAGCTGCAATGGTGGTGTCTGGGGCGTATTGGACCCTCTTAAGGATAATCTTGTCCCAAGGATGTGCAGCGCCTGACAACACGCGAGACGGGGGGGAAGGCCGAGTGAGGTGGTACGACCACCAATCTGAGTTGTTTAAGTTCGCTTCCCCGGGACAGATGTGGAATGGTGCACCAGATTTTGAGTTATCTGGACAGCTATCACGCAGAAGCGTAAAGTACATGCTACACAGTGGTTGGCAGGGATACATCAGCTCCAGGCGTAAAGTGCTTTCCTCCTTCTTTGTTGCCAGCGGATGCCCGAAGTCGAATACCATGGACCACTCGAAGTAGCCGACAGAATCCCATAAACGACGATAACGATCTTCGTTGCGGATGCAGATACTCATTCTCTCTGCTTTCGCGGAGAAGGAAACGGGGACCTTGCAAGGAAGACAGAATGGGCTTTGTACGTACTCGTCATCGTGGCCTGCTGACGCCACATCTATGACGGATAAGCGGATCGACGGGACTGCAACTAGGTAGGATCCTCCCGTTTTCACCTTGGGACTGCAGGCTAGCAGACCATAGACGATGTGATGATGCGACTCGTCTTTGAATATTGGCAGACTGATTTCCAGTCCACGCTGACTCATGGCAAAAGCTGGTCTCTTGTGTCCCGGTATGCCGCAAGGCTCAAGGCTTCCTGCGAACCTGAAATCTCGTGGTGAGGTTGCAAGGAGGGATCTTGGCCGGCCACCAGCATTATGGCCGCTAATATCTCTGGAAAGTTGGCTTCCAACCAGTAGTCCACCTCTGGGACCAGTGGTTACATCAGTATAAGCACAGTTTGGATAGTGAGGATATTCGAGAAGCTTTGGGCGTGTCTGGACGGAGAAGGGGCGATTATAATCCCGATAGTATCGTTCACAGCGGCGACAGCGACATGGGAAAGGAAACTCGGAGACTGGGGCTCCAAGAAACGGCTTGTTGTAGCCCCAGGCTAGCAGAGTGCAGTCATCGGTAGACTTCATAATCTCTTGTTGTAGCCGAGCAAACGCCTTTCTTCCCTCGCCGTACAGCATTGGCATATGTATATCGAACAAGCCGAGCAAGCAGTATGCTTGATCCTCGACTCTTGTTGTCTGCCTGCCGGCGGCCCACGACATCTTGGTTGCAACGCTGGTGTCTCTAAGGACGGCCTCAAGGTCCCAACTTTCGAAAGGATCCCGCTCGATGCCTAGAAGAAACCTGACATCGATACCAGTAGCTTTCGAGATGTGTCTCGCCCACTTGGAACGCGAGCCCAGTTCTATCCAGTTGACATCGAAGAAGAGCAACTTGTCGGGCGCCAGAAGCTCCTGCAGGGTCCAACCTCGGGTGAACCATCGGCAGGATGATGGGACGTGACTCTGCAGCTCTTGGTCGGAGACGAAGTCGGATTTGTCCACATCAGACAGGAGGGCTAAGCACACAGTCGACTTGCGGTACCATCGGAACATGGAGTTGATGGCTTCTTGCAGCTCTGCGCTGTTGGTCTTGTCAATGCAGCAACTGTCGATCCAGATGTAGGCATAGCCTTCTTGGCGTGCCTTTCGGCAGGCGTCTTGGACTTTTTTCCAATGTTTGCTTGGGGGATTGCTGCTTGTCAGGATTGGCCTCGCATTCGACTGTAGCATATTCTGGAGGGTGACCTCGTCGCCGTCCCAGGTATGGGATAGAATGGCGTATTCAGGAACAGCATCTTCGTGGAATTCGTGGAAGGTAAACTCTCGAGTGGAAAGCAGGCGCATGATGTACGAAGATGATGTTGGCAATAGATACCTAGATATGGAGGTTAGGTACGCAAGAGTTTATGAAGAGTGAAGAGCGAAGACTCCAAAAGAAAGATCATTGAAGGGTTTGCAATGAATGCGGCCGGGGTGAATAGTGTTCCGTCAGGCATCCATCAGGCTGAGTGAGGTGGTGCATTGGGGTACGTAGGTACCTAAGTAGCATCAATTACATCCCCCCCCCTCCCCATTTGCTCTCACTTCGTCTCGATTGTTCCTGCCGCATGGAGCTAGTTGTTGAGGTGCCGGATACGTTACCTTACTTACCTATCTTACCTATCTGGACAACTCTGCCTGCCGAACGTAATACCAACTGTCCGCAGTCTTCACCAACTGCATTCGGCAATCTCTGACACCTGATTTGACACAACGAGCGGCCCAATACAATCCGAGAACCAGTTCGTTACAAAACGGCGTTATCACACATACACATAACAAAATGGCCCTTCCACCACACTCATCAACTCTCTTAACTTCCTCCCTGGCCCCGCCGCATACCCAAAATCCACCACATCATCCAACGTTGTCTCGCCGCTCGCGGGAATATTCAAGAAGGTCCTCGTCCCCGCCACCGCCGTCGTCTCGCCATACACCCTCTTTTTCACATCCACCATCTGCCACATCCACCACACCCGATCAATCATGGCATGGTGCAGATAAAACGCCGGATCGCCCGGGGACGTGCTCACATCACGACCCGGGTCTCCTCCCAGCGAGTAATGTCCTCCGCCGTGCACGCCGATGTCGCCTGACCCTGGGATGCCTTGCATGATCATCTGGAAATTGGCGATCGTCTCTTGGGAAAGGACATGTCGGATGGAAGAAGCGTTGGCGAAGCGCTGGTTCACAGCATCGCTTAGGTCGCGGCGCAGACACCGTGGATTGTAGGCGAATGGACCAGCCGAATTCGATTGCTGCGGTCCCCCGCCAGGGACGTCGAGGGCAATGGGGCCGAGGTTGACGCTCATATTGGCGAACGGGCCCGAGGTGACACAGCCGCCACCGGTGCCGGCGGGCAAGTATACAGGCGGCAGTTTGCTACCCTCGATACCGCCTAGGACAATGTCTCCCTGGTTTGGAATGTAGACACCGTTGCCGGACATGGAGGTCGCGCTGCCGTCGAAGATGGGAGAGGCGGAGAGGCCAGTCTCGGCGGTCTTGGCCCAGTCCCAGTAGGGCTGGGTCCCGCGATATCCACATTCTTCGCGCAGGGCTTGCTCGTACAGCGAGATGAAGTAACGGTGCAGGCCGAGGAAGTTGCCAGTGTAGTGGGCGGTTTGGGTTTGGTTGATGTGGGTGACGATAAAGTCATCGAAGCGCGACCTGGCGCCAGGGGCTAGTGACGCGGGATATCGGGAGGGTTTGGCCTGCAGACATTGGACGGCTTGAATGTACTCGAGCCTCTCTACTTTGGTGAGTGCTCCCCTGGACTGATGTTAACGATGGGACATTCTGAGTTACAGCTCTGTAGGTGCTCGTGGGGCTTACCATTCTTTTCTGATCTTGATCTTTTCTGGTGTGCACTGCCCTCCCTTGGCCGCTTTTAGGGTCTTTTGGAGAGCGGAGAGGGCGAGAACTTCTAGCTCTGCTTTTGCTTTCGCAATGACTGGGTCTCGCGTGCTCGAACTCGGGAGTCCTATGCATGTGCTAGCAGCCTGGAGAACCAGGAGCGATAGAGTTGAGAACCTCATCTTGGAAGCTCGCAAGAATGGGCAAAGAAAGAAACTGGTGTATCGATCATCTTCAGACAAGATCGCGGGAGAAAAGCTGATATATATGACAGTCAAGCCATCCTCAGGGTCCAACCACCTGGTAGGTACGACGATACTCCACGGTGCCGAGACACTACGATGCACATCACGTACAGTGTACACAAATCAAAAAGGGCCTTTGACAACAAATGGAAACTAAATAATGACACCTTCAATCTAAGCGACTTGCAACCTTGTGAGTGATGTAAACATGGGATATACCCACACATAGGCCTTCGGCACGTAGTTATAGTTAACGGTAAGAACTTTGCAGCGATAGATGTCGGGCTCATTGGCCTGATAATTGGATGGCAACCCAGCACTTGGGCTGTCTTGAGCCGGTTTCCAGATTGCCGGCGTCGCTACCAGGACCAACTTTCGATGGGAATGGTAGCAATGGAAACGATGTCAGCTTCATAAACGTATGCTTATATTGTGTAGTAATTGTATCACCATGAAGAACATTGTGATTGGAACGCTGCGGCTAATAACTTTATCCCAGCTCATGTAACATGAAAAGGTCTCCGAATGGTCTGGACCTGGATCCATGGGTAGCGAGTGTCCAGTCAAAACAGTGTAACAACGAGGCCAATACCACCTTCTTCTTCTTCTTCTTCTTCTTCTTCTTCTTCTTCTTCTTCTTCCTCCTCCTCCTCCTGGCGCTTCATCACCACTACTTACTGTAGAGGGTACTGTACCTTCCGTAAGGATTAGAACCTCCCACATTTTCTTGGATCTGGTTTCCGCAGCTTTTCATTTGGTCCCAGGAAAGATCAAACCCATATGATATTTTCTTGGTGAGTTTGCCGAGGACTGCTCTTCGTTGGGGAAGATGGCAGTGGAGGTGCTTTCCATCCATCTTCTTCCAAGGCAACATCGTCCCCCACCATTTTGAAATGCTTGTTCCTCGCTTCTGCCACTGCAGTGACAGTCCACTCGTCCAAACAAGTTTCTTTTCGCTTTCGCTTCAACCTGTTCTTCACATGTCCCCGCAGCACCTTGTTGCGCCTCTTTTTCCTCATCTTGATAGGTGGCTTCGCTCTCGGACCAGTTTCCGAATGCGTGCCATCAGCTAGCTGGCACCTGGCATCAAGTCAGAAGATGATTTCACCTTCGCGTCATAAACCGAAGACCCGGATTTTGGTGCAGAATGCGTGAAAGTGAAATGCAGGTGAGTAACGCACATTGTGACTTTCATCCTGGTTTTGGATTCTTGGGTGTAGCAGCAACTTAGATGGAGCGCTAACTGATCCCCAGCAAACATACCTGCGGTTCCGTTACCAAAGTATCCTAGTGCAGTGGGGAATGGCCAACCCGAGACGCCGGATGGCACGCAGCAGCACGGCAGCACCGCATCGGCCATGTTCCAAGTCTCCCGGTCGGTCCCACAACGGCTCGGAATGGCGCCGGCCCCGAGTACCTGGTCCGTACAATGATATACACCACACCCGCTCGAACTACCCGGCCTTCACTTCGATGGTAAACTTGGCCTTGACCACCTCGAGATCGCACTCAATCTGGTGCCCGTGGCCATTGCTTTTTGGTATCTCGGGCCATACTCTCCCGTCTTGAGAGGCTCACCAACGGGCAGTGTTATTGAACGACTGTGATGCTTCCAGTCAGTCAGGTGTATCTCTATGGCACGATGGTACCTAAGCCACCTTGTGGACATCACTCATTATGCAGGATATAGGAACTGTCCACACCTTGGCCAAGGTAAACAACAGTATTCATGCTATGCCATGCGTTAAAAGCCCCAGAGTTGGATATGGACAACGAACACACATCCCATACATAAAAGGTGGTTTTCAGGACCTTCCGTCCTTATCTCTTCCTCCCCTGAACACAACTTACTCTCTCTCTTGTCCAACAAATACACATGCCCCCATTTGGACACCATGATTCTCTTCAAGCGCCCTCCCGATGAGAAGGGATCCGTTTGGTTCTCGGTTCTGATCGGCGTCTTCGTGGCCTTTGGTGGTCTTCTTTTTGGCTATGACACCGGCACCATCAGCGGCGTCATTGCCATGAAATACTGGAACGAGCGTTTCTCCACGGGCTACATCGATGCTGATGGGAAGCCGGCCATTAGCCCGTCGCAATCTTCCCTTATTGTCTCTATCCTTTCGGCTGGCACCTTTTTCGGTGCTTTGGCTTCTCCCTTGCTGGCGGATAAGATTGGTCGGCGATGGGGTATCATCATATCCTCTTGGGTATTCAACTTTGGCGTATCCATGCAAGTAATTTCTGTCGCCATTCCTCTGTTTGTGGCCGGGAGATTCTTTGCCGGCCTTGGAGTTGGCTTGCTTTCGGCTCTTGGTGAGTGATGCACTTTTTTTTTCCCTTTCGATAAAGTCATGGCCGTGGTATGCTAACTCCGCTCACTTCATAGTCCCGCTCTATCAATCCGAGACCGCTCCCAAATGGATCCGTGGAATGATCGTGGGCGTATATCAACTTGCAATCACCATCGGCGTCCTTTTCGCCGCCATTGTCAATAATGGCACTCATAAACGGGAGGACACCGGCTCGTACAGAATTCCCATTGCTCTCCAGTGGCTCTTCTCGCTCACTCTCATCATCGGCATGCACTTCCTTCCCGAGACTCCCAGGTATTGCATCAAGCGAGGTGATATGACCCGTGCCACCCGGGCCCTGGCCAGAATCCGCTGCCTGTCGCCCAATGATCCCGCCATCCTTGCGGAGATGGAAGAGATCCGTGCAAACTACCAATATGAATTGTCACTCGGTAACAGCAGCTACCTGGACTGCTTCCGCACGGGCATGTTGAAGAGGATGCTCACAGGCATGGTACTTCAAATCCTGCAGCAACTTACCGGTTCGTCTAATCATCTCCCCTGTTTTCTTTGCTGTTCCACCATGACCGTTTTCTAACTCCAAGAACTATACAGGCGTCAACTTCATTTTCTACTACGGTACTCAATTCTTCGAGAACTCCGGCATCTCGAGTTCCTTCTTGATTAGTATGATCCTAGCCACAGTCAACGTTCTCTCGACGGTCCCCGCTGTCTTCATGTTCGACAAGTTTGGTCGCCGCCCTTTACTCTTGTGGGGTGGTGTAGCCATGCACATATGCCACTTTATCGTCGCTACACTCGGTACATCGACAACGAGTCAGACTGCCTCCGGGGTAATTATCGTGCTCAACGTTGCTGCTCAAAAAGCATCAATTACTTTTGTGTGCTTGTTCATTGCCTTCTTCGCCGCAACATGGGGTCCCTTGGCGTGGGTGGTAACTGCTGAGTTGTACCCACTGAAGCACCGGTCGCAAATGTTGAGCATTAGCACAGCTACAAACGTGAGTTGTTCTTCCCAATGTCGTCATTTCGAGATCAGAGCGGTTCGCATGTGATTTAAAAGCCCTCCTCAGAACCCCAAATTACTTTTCTTCTTTTCTGCTTCTCTCTCAACCACACATCAGAAACATGTTCCTTCATTTTCAACTCCGGATTCTGTCTACTGCCATGACATTCTGGAGGTAAGGTGGAGGATAGAAGAGAACTTTTCAAGCCTTTACCCTCTACCTTTGTTCCTCTCTGTCGATGAGTAGAGCAATCCGTGCTTTGGGACATTTCCACACCCTTTGCAAAGCCCTTACTATCTGGAGGTTATGGCGCTTGCCGTTGGCTTGTCAGCGTACCGTTATGTGTTGCGATATTAGTGTCACTCCAAACAAGCTGATGACCTGAAACAATGCACTGCTCCGGGTGCATATTCGTACCTCGAGGATTTGCGCGTTATCAGACTCAAATCGCTAACCTTCTGACCCAACAACAGTGGTTAGTAAACTGGGCCATCGCCTACTCGACTCCTTACCTCGTCAACTATGGTCCCGGGTACGCAAACCTCCAGTCAAAGATCTTCTTCGTCTGGGGTACAGCCTGCATGCTCTGCGTCGGCTTTGTCTACTTTTACATCTATGAGACAAAGGGTCTATCTCTAGAGGAGATCGACGAAATGTACCAGACGCCAGGTCTCAAGGCTAAGGACAGCAGCAAGTGGCGGCCGAGCGTCCATTTCCGAGAAACCCTGCTCACGGAGATCACATACCACAAGGCTACTGGTGGAAGTCCTGCTCAGGCCGAGGCTGCTCCAGTAGCTGAGACCGCGGAGAGAGCTGAGCGTGAGGCTGTTCCTACCCTTCCTAATCCTACTACAGCTCCCATGATTGGGCCTCCTCCTCCTGAAAGTGACGATGTCCTGAAGGCGCTACAAGACGCCGTCCTTCGTCCTGCAGGAGCTTTCACCCACCCTGCTACGCTGAACCCGGCCTGGAATTCCCATTCTCCCTTGTCCGCACAAACTGCGCTGTCGAATCTTCCGTCCTCCTCTCTTGCTTCCAACAAGTCTGCCCCGTCCCTGGGCACGACTCCCAACGAAGTAGGAACTAGTCCATCCCACCCAGCGCGAAGAAGCTTCGGGCGTTGAATGTCCGCGGCGACAGAATGACTTCCCACGCTCTCGCTATACATTTCATCAGTGGGGTGACAAAGCCCCAGCACGATCTAGTGCCGGTGTGGAAAAGCACCGCGACGGCTTAGTGGGAGTGCCTTGATATCGGACGTCGTCAGGCAGATTTGAAGCAACTAATCTGTTTGATCTTCCGTGTCCGGGGAAGTCGTTTCGAGGACTCGCAGGTGATGAGGCATGGGATGAGGAGAAAGCATAGTCATTGGTTCAAGAACTGGGCAATGGCTTCGATTGTAAGGATTCATCGCCGGTTATGAGATGTAGCTGTAATACGTGGGTTTCAAAAGAGAATTGGCCCAGATAGAGAATGGTGTAGGATGCTGCATCGACCGGGACACACGAGAGCGGTGCTTAACGTTAGTTTACTTCTTATGGTGGGAAGGGATGTCGAGGACTTCTCATTCTTGTTAATGGTCAAGAGAGGTGGATTTCGATTTATTTTTGTGGTATTTTTCGCATTGGAAAAAAATATATGTTTCGTTCAACGTTATTAGAAACTAAATTCTTCGTGTACTTCAATGCCATGCCAACCACCGTCACGGTACGGTCAATTCCTCTGTAGGTTTGGCCATAACAGCTCTGCCCTCCCGAGACTCACCCTGAGCTCGTATCAGTCACTTGCAGAAAAGGATGCCTCAAGATCTCCTCAAGGGACATCCTCTGGTCAGGAAACCACCGAAAAACCCCCCGCAAGAGATCCAGAAACATGTCCGCCTTCTCCTTTGACAGTTCGCTCTGCATCACCACCAGATGAAGCGGGCTCTTTGCTTTCTTATGCTTCTTCCTCCACTTCTTGAGCGCACTATACCTAAGAAATCCAACATGCGCCGGATTGGACGGAAACATGGTCTTCTTCCCTTGTTCATCCCGCTCCTTCCATGCATTTCGATACGGTACGGGGATGGGGCCCAGAAAGTATTCCATCTCAGCCAGCACGTCGGTTTCGAGGCACCCGTCAACCGATTCCCGGCTGTCTGGGAAGGCAGTATGTCCCGAGCAGATCTTGACCATAGAGCAGCCCAACGCCCATATGTCACTTTGCACGCTCATGTGCCCGTGACCGTGACGTAGGCGTACGATGCACTCTGGCGCTTTATAGTGGACGGGAATCAGCGAGTGACGCGGCTCCCATGCGTGATGCCAGGCTGAGCCCATGTCGATCACGGTCGCGCGAGGGACCTGTCCATGTCCTATAAAGCCTATATCCAAGTTTTTGCGCGCCAGGATTTCTTTGAGGGCGTAGACGTCGCATTTGGCTGGGAAAACAAGGTGATCTGGTTCTTTAAAAGGCTCGGGATTTTCAAGTTCGACTGCCTCCGGCTGCCCGCCATACACCTGCATGATCTCGTCTTGACTCTGCAGCTTATCCAAGTGAGGTAGGTAATACAGGATATTGGCCGGCCTGAAATCCCCGTGGGCGATGCCCACCATGTTATGCAGCTTCTGAAGAGCCAGCGCAATCTGTCGACAGGCAAACAGGCTGCTGCTGGTCTGACCGTTCCCGTTCCCGTTCCCGTCATCCTGAGAGCACAAGGTACCCTCCTCCTCGTTCGAAAGACCAAGAACTTGTCTATTATCCACCCTTGGTCCAAGCAGAGGGAGCACCGAGCAAGTATAGGTCGTCTTGCCACCGGGCCCCCCCACTCTGATGGGGAACCGTTCGTACGGAATGGCAACCTGATACTCGGTTAGCGCTTTTTCGGGGCTGATACCGGCACGCTTGAACTCCTTGGACACGCGAAGGTCGGTGTCGGCTGTGCCTTGGCGGTGCATCTTGATGGCTTTCCAGCGTGACGGAGCGTTGGCGGGGGGCTGGGTGTCTTGGACGAGCCAGACGGTGCCGTAGGTTCCGTGCCCGAGCTTGTTGAGGACATGAAAGATGCGGTCGGCTTTCTTGGCTCCGATTTCCGTGTTGATTTCTACGGGAAATAGTTGTCCGGATGAGTATAAGTCACGGTCTTCTGTGCGGCCGCGTCTGCGAGCTTCGTCTTTGGTAAGCAAAACCACCGGGATGTTTTGGGAGGGGTTTCCTTCGTCTTCGCGAGCAGTGGACATTGCAACATGTGTACCTAATGAGGTGTGGTGATGGCAGAGTAGGTGGTAGTTTTACTGTAAGCCAGCCGACGATACGCAGAGCAGGATGCTAATAGGAGTAAGTACATGACAGGCCTTCGTAATTATTGTAGGCTCAGAGTGGTGCCTTAAATCAAACTCCAACAATGGTTTAAACAGACCCATGGCTCCCTCCCCCCTACCATAAGGTGTTCGCGATACTGCACGGCCTGGTGGTTTCTCATAGCAGCGATGTCAGTCCAGCACATGGTGAACCCTTCTGCGTCCCGCTTGAGGCTCTCGTCTGCCTGTCGCCTTCTCTCAGGATTTTGCCTTTCGACGAAATCCAATACAGGTAGCACAAAAGTGCTGCTTGCTGCCTTGGACCTGTGATCATTCATTCACTCACGCAAGCATCACAGGTTTTGTTGATAATTCCCCCTTTTGTCTCGTGACTCCCTTTATCACCGCAACAATGACTACGAAAAAATGAAGGAAAACAAACAACGGAAAAAAATGGAAGATGCACAGTAGCAATAGATTGGTAAAAGGAGAAAAAGAGAAAAAAAAAGAGGTTTTTGGTGATCATCGTGCGACGTGGGCCTGATTCGAACAGACGCTCCCGAAGGAACAAGATTTCTAGTCTTGCGCATTAGACCACTCTGCCACCACGCCATGGGTTGTTGTTAGCACTATATCAGCTATAGTGCATTTATAAAGCCAATATATCCAGCACTACTCTTGATCTGGTTTTGCGAAAAGAAGACAGTCATTACGGAACGGTTCGAAAGTGAATCAATATGGCCGGAAACTCAACAATATTGTAAAGATGTCAAATCTTATTTCTGTGATGGTGATTGAGAAGAAGTCCGTCCGTCGGTCGAGGAACATGCGCTTGTGAGGTGGGTGGGTTGCGCACTGAAGGGGAAGAATCCACCAGTTAAAGCCCATCCATGCTTTCTTTCTCTTCCTTCCAATTTTCTACACCAGGTAGGTACCTCTAGTCTTCCATTCAGCTTCCATTTTTCCTTCGAATACGCGGAGAAGAACAGTGGATGCGAGTACGAACCGAACTTTCTCCGCCGTTTCATCTCGTTTATAGTTTCAGTTACTTTCTGCCCAGAGTTCCCAGAGTCCCAGAACCACGTAACCCCGAACCTTGGAAAAGGCGTGGCATTGTATGTAACCGTGAGTGAGCAGCGGTGAGATCTTGGTTAGCTACCCTCTTTTGTTGCCATACATACAGTAATGTGCCCTGTAAATGCAAGTGGGGCGTGCAGCCGATTTCCTTGCATTTATTGGGTCCTAGCATTTATTGGTATGGGAGCAGGAGGCTTGTGACTGCTAGTAACCGCCCTGATAAGGGGTTCTGATAGTTGGTGACAGCCCCGATATGGGTAACAAGGGTACTACAACCCCCTATAAACTACCCTCTTAGCTGCAAATTTATATGGCGGGCCGGCTGGTGGCTAGCACTTAGCAGCTAGCAGGCATACCATACTAAAATAATTCGTGCACAGAAATTCCCAGCAATTATTGGGTCTTAGCATTTATTGGGTCTAGCATTTACAGGGCACATTACTGTACCTAGTTCCCGGGCTCCTTCGACATACCGAACGTATCGTAACCTTTGGACATACTTCCGGCCTTTTTTCCCCCCTCATTCTACGAAATACATGCATATCCATGTTCGATATTGTCTGAGCTCTAAGACCAGGGGGTTGGTTGCTCCAGAGTTTCACCACAAAATCCCACCAACCCGGTGCGGAGGGCTCGCTGCCAAGACGTTGCAATTGCTGCCTTCTCCTTTTCGACGTCAATGCGGCTTGACCCCAGAACCACCCCAAGCGAACTGCAAACCGCGAAAGGAAAGGTGCAGTCGGTGCAGGACAACAGCGCCGATACCCCATGACAGCATCAGATCATATATATCAAGATCCTAATCATCAGAGGGGACATGTATAGTATAGGTAGGGCCTACCGAGGGGAGGATACATATCCGCAATCCACCTTTCCTAGGATCGGTTTCTATGGGGTTGATGGTGGAGGATCGTAAGGCCATCTACTAGACATAGTCTAGCGCTTTCGTGATTATTTTCATGCTTCAAGCGGTTCTCACATCGGGGGGCGACTCAAAATGTAGGTATTTTGTTGATTTCATTGCGCGCGATGTTGAGTCTCAGGGCTTCATGTTTTGACCAAAAGATGGAGAAGGGGCGAAAGCGAGTCCAAGGGGAACGGAACGAAAGCCAAGCAATCCGGAAACACCGTAAAATAAAGCCAAGACAAGACTACACCACAACTTGGTGTAAACTTTGCAAGAAAAGGCAAATGAAGGGAATCTGGGGTGCATGCATGCATACGTACGCAAGCTACTAACCGTGTTTAGACTTTTGGCCTTTTTGCTCTTTTGGGATGGTTCGCACCTTGTCATTCCGTGGTGTCCTGATGCAGAAAGCAAAATGCGGATCAGTGATTGCATGTTTCGTTCCTCCCTCATGGCTGACATGCCATGTATCTTTTGTTTCTAGGTACATTGTGACTTACTCGTCGGCTAGATGGATTCACTTCCCCAGCCAGCTAACCGACTCTCCTCGTTCTTCTAGGGAAGCGAGTTCATCTAACCGACGTGTAGAGCGATCAGTTTAGACCTTTGTGTTTATAATGGAGTAAAAACTGAAGTACTGCACTAGCGTGATCATTTTCCCTTTCTACACTATGTACTTTCGATGCCAGGGACCAGGTACCATCAGGCGGTTGCGGATACCAGCACACAGCTCCAAACCCCCAGACAGGATCAAGTTTCGAAACAAACAACCCTGATCACCTTTTCTGGGATTGGTGGAAGGGCGTGAAACCGCCGAGTAATCGAACGGACGAACGTGTGGATCAACGGGGGGCCTACT